GTGTTATCAGAGGCCTAGATTGGAAGTGGCGAGATCAGGATGGCAGCCCACAGGGAGAAGGCACCGTCACAGGAGAACTACATAATGGTGAGTAGGTGCTTAGCACTTGTGATATAGAGACCAGGAACTTAAATCATAAAATACATTTTCTTTTGTTATCTTGTGATAATTTAGGGTTGATTGTATAAACATCAGAACTATATGGAACAACTGATAACTTACATTAAAGCTGGTTTTTTCTGAGACAGAGTCTTGCTATATAATTCAGACTGGCCTTGAACTCAGTCTTTCTGTGTCAGCCTCCCAAGTGCTTTAAGTGGGATTAGAGGTGTGCCCCACTTCGCACAGCTCTGGAAAAAATTAATTTAGAAATGAGGGAAATATTTAATTCTTGGGTTTTGATTAGAATGTTGTTGCTCATATTTCTAAGTGATTATTGAGTTAGTATAAGTTGAATATATTCAAGACATTTTTTTTTTTATTTGCAAGTTTCCTTTGGATTTGATTTTAATTTCTCAAGGTTTTTATCTTGTTTGCCTCACAAGAATCAGGTAATTTTTTTTACTATATTAAGATCATATAGAAGTCCTTTTAGTAGATGATTATTTCAGTGTTTCTCAATCTGCCAGCTTTTTGGGAGTTTAAACTTTCATGTTTAGTAGGGCTTATTGTGTAAATCAAGTTCACAATTAGGTTTGTTTTTTCTTTTTGTTTTTTTTTTTTGGTACCAGAGATTGAACTCAAGACCTTGTGCTTGCAAGGCAGGCGCAGAGCCACTGAGCTAAATCCCCAGCCTCACATTTAGCTTTTGATTCTTAGAGATTTTAGTGGTGTTATTTCCACTTAATAAGTTGCTGTTAACTCCCAAAGCAACTGTACTGACCAATTTTTTTTTTTTGGTACTGGGGATCGCTTGCGAGGCAGGCAGCAGAACCACTGAGCTAAATCCCTGGCCCTAATTTTTTATAACTATATGATTTATCAGGAGATAATTTGGCTAAACAGTAGTGGGTTTATTCCTTTTCATTTGCCTTTATTAAATTTAAAAAAAGAAAATGTTCATTTTTCAAAACTTACCCCAAATATTTAAAAAGTCTTAATAGAAGTGCTGGTGCTTAGGAGAATAGCTAGTATTTAATTTCATAATATATTCTTGTATTATATGATAAAGCATTTATTTAAAGAAATCCTATTTTATTGTCTTTGAGATTTTGTTCCTTGAATTGCCACATTACCTAATTTCTGTAGCATCAAATCCTAATTTTAAATTACTATAAATCATTATAATCAAATCAGGTTTACAGTCAGGCAAAATTTATAAATACCAGCTCATATGATAATACTATTCAACTCAGAAATTTAAAATGTTATCCTGGTGATTCTTAAGTTCATAACCTGTCTCCCACATTGTTTTGGCCTTGAAATATGTAACTTGGTGAGAGGCTAGTTTGGGTCATGTTAATGTAGTTCATTTTTCTCTGGATGGAGTCAACCTGGGAAGCAACCATAAGAAAATCAGATTCTTAATTCAAGAAAGCCTGTTTTTGCTGATTTACAAATGTAGAGATTGAGTTTTGACTTAAGTCCTTATGTTACAGAGGGTTCTTAGTTTTAAAACTTGAGTCAACCATTTCTAATAATGATTAGTCTTTACTATTCTCTGTATGTATCTTTTGGGCATAGGTTGATTTTTAATTTTTTTTTATTTTATTTTTTTAATACTCCTACACTTGGTTGTAGTATGTATGTACTCCTTTTTAGTTACATTAGAAGTTTGAGTACCAGTTTAAACAACGTTACCAACTTTAAAATAAATGATTGAAATTTTAAATTATTTTTCCACATTATATCATTTACTTCTGTTTCTCTTCTGAAGTATGTGTGTTGGTAGAATATACATTTATTCATTTCCAAAATATTTAATGCCTACTATGTAAAACTACTTTGTTAAACTTCAGATATTCAGTGATCAAGAAAAAGTATGAGCCCTTGTATTCACAGTAAAACAAACTACAATTAGAAATTTTGGTAAGTGCTGTGAAGTTATCAGTATATTTTTGGATCATTTAATATAATACAAAGCTAATTTTTATTTAGGATTGGGATATGTTCTTGAACCTTTCCTTTGCTCATACTTTACTGTATAGCAAGAGAGCTAGGTAAATGTTGGTTCTTCAGAGGTTATTTCAGCATACAGAATAATTTGGTTTTTTTGTTGTTGTTTTGGTTTTTTTTGGTACCAGGGATCGAACTTGGGACCTTGTGCTTGCGAGGCAGGTGGCTGAACCACTGAGCTAAATCCCCGGTCCTATACAGAATAATTTGAAGCAGTTGATCTCACCTAAACTACTTAATGTAGATTTGAGGCAGCCACTCTTCCTTTCAAAGAACTCATTTACAAATAATCCTCATAGGTGATTAGGTATTACTTATGCCCCTCTGAGCTTCATCATAAACATATGTATGGGTGGTTGGATAGCTGGATATGTTGGTGGGTGTGTTAAGGTGGAACTTACCCTCTGTGGGTGTGTGCGTAAAGTATTTTTAAATTTTATAAAACCTTGTTATACTTTAAAAAATGTTTTTATGTGTTATGTTTTTCTTGGAAGTAGTTTATAACATGGAAGAAAGATTGTAAAATTTCTACTAATTTCTTTGTAGTAGTCAGTTTACATCTTTGCTTTAGAATTTAGGAGTTTTGTTTATTATTTTGAAAAGAATATCATTTTCCAAGTACAAGTAAATATAGATTGAATATCATTCTTGTCATTAGTTCTTTACATGATAATAGCTTTAGCATATAGATTCTAATACAAGCTCAGCATGCTTTTTAAATTTTGTTTTAAAAATTTTCTATGTTTATTCATAGTTATTGAACTTAATCATAAAAGAATCAAGTAAACACTGAACTTTGAGAACACAACCGAAATGCTTAGTGTTTTATTTGAGCTAGTAACCTGAAAATTTCTCCAGGTGATATATGAATATTTTATGTTATTTAGAGGGGTTAGCTCAACCTTAGAAATTAATGGTAAGCCAGCACTTTTTCTAGAAAGAACATTCAACCTTAGTAATTTAAAAATTTTTTCATTTACTTGCTGAAGTTGCAGTATGAAAATACTTGTATCAGTCTTAACAATTTAAAAAATATTCTTCCATTTAAATATAATACAATAAATGTAAACATGACCCTTACATTATTTTTAAATATCACCAGTCTTTAACAGTTCAGAAATAAGGAAAATAAAAGGAATTTTAAAGGTTTCCCAGAAATGTGTACAGTATATTTATCTTTCTTTCCTTAGTATAATTGTCATTAGAGTTAAATAATAGAGACCTTCAGATAGCTAGCATAATTATAAATAGTCAAATATCATTTCAGTTGATTGGCATCCAAAAATTTACATTTTAGCTAACACGTTAAATAACTAGAAATTCAGAGAAGTTCAACACTGATGGAAATGCTGATCCCATATTGTGGAGCTACTGTCTGACACGCTCCTGTCTGCTTTCTGCTGGGTCTTACAAACTCCTGTCCCTTTCCAGGCTGGATTGATGTCACCTGGGATGCTGGTGGCTCAAACTCTTACCGTATGGGCGCAGAAGGAAAATTTGACCTCAAGCTTGCACCAGGGTACGACCCTGATACAGTGGCATCACCCAAACCTGTTTCATCCACTGTTTCAGGCACAACGCAGTCATGGAGCAGCTTGGTGAAAAACAACTGTCCAGACAAGACATCTGCTGCTGCAGGCTCCTCAAGTAGAAAAGGAAGCAGCAGTTCTGTGTGTAGCGTGGCCAGTAGCAGCGACATCAGCTTGGGTTCGACCAAAACGGAACGGAGATCAGAAATTGTAATGGAACACAGTATAGTTTCAGGAGCTGATGTCCATGAACCAATTGTTGTTCTTTCATCTGCTGAAAACGTCCCTCAAACAGAAGTAGGGTCATCTTCCAGTGCAAGCACCAGCACCTTAACAGCGGAGACGGGAAGTGAAAATGCTGAAAGGAAGTTAGGCCCTGATAGTTCTGTTCGTACTCCTGGAGAGTCTAGCGCAATATCCATGGGAATTGTTAGTGTTAGCTCTCCTGATGTTAGTTCAGTATCTGAATTAACTAATAAAGAAGCAGCTTCACAACGACCCCTTAGCTCTTCAGCAAGTAACAGACTATCAGTGAGTTCTTTGTTGGCTGCTGGGGCCCCTATGAGCTCTAGTGCAAGTGTACCTAACCTGTCCTCAAGAGAAACATCTAGTTTGGAGAGTTTTGTAAGGAGAGTGGCAAACATAGCACGGACTAATGCCACGAACAACATGAATCTAAGCCGAAGCAGCAGTGATAACAACACTAATACTTTGGGGAGGAATGTGATGAGCACAGCAAGTAAGTGAGCTTTTCCTTCTGGAACTCAATGCTTTTTCCACTCTGAGGGATACACTCTTGTTCAGTGTGTTCTGGCTGCTGTCTTTAACTAGATAGTTAACCATGTTAGAGACAACTACCTCAAATTTAATGCTTCAGAGTTATGAAGTTAAGTTGAACAGAATCATATTTTAAAAATTGAGATCAGCTATGAAGATTCTTATTGTGAAAGGATAAAACAACACCTGCTTTTTTCTCTTTTACGATAAATGGTTAAGCAAAGTTGCATGAAGAAATATGTAACTATTAAACATTGAAACCAGAGCTTCCACCTGGATACAACTTTTATTTAGCCCCTAAATTGAATGTAGCCCCTGAAAGTTATTTAATTCTAATTTAAGCTACTAATGGGTCAAAGTAAATATATTTGAAAATATATTGGAAATTATTTTCATTAAGCTAGGCTTAATATTTTGAAAATAACAGTGCTTTGAAAGCAAGAATTTTTAGTTGGATTTCAGTTGGGTTCCCAAAGTTGTTGTTTTTCCATCTTTTCATTATTAGTGTGTTTCATGATCTCAAAAATATAAATCTTTGTTTTAATAAGGTTATCCTACTACTAACATTGATTTGCTTTATTTTTATCTTTAGCTTCTCCTCTAATGGGTGCTCAGAGTTTCCCTAATCTGACCACACCTGGTACCACATCCACAGTGACTATGTCGACATCCAGTGTTACTAGCAGCAGCAATGCAGCTACAGCCACAACTGTTTTATCAGTTGGCCAGTCATTAAGTAATACTTTAACTACCAGCCTCACGTCAACATCCAGTGAGAGTGACACAGGGCAGGAAGCAGAATATTCCTTATATGGTGAGTTACACTTTAAATAAATAGATGTAAATATTGATAAGATGATGCTTTTATGATGTTTTTCTCCTGGGAAAGTTTTACCATTTGCTTAAAAAAAATTCTCTCCTCTCATAAATGTGAAATCGTCCTTTAAGATAAAAAAGCTCATTGATATGAAAGACTTAAAAATTATGAGCTGGGCGTGATGATGCATGCCTGTAATCCCAGCACTCAGGAGGCTGAAGCAGGAGGATCACCTTGAGTTCGAAGCCAGCCTGGGCTACATAGCAAAATCCTGTCTCAAAAGAAAAAAAAAATTACGATTATAAAAATCCAGACATCACCAGCACCTGCCTCACAAGTGCAAGGTCCCGAGTTCGATCCCTGGTACCCGCCCCCCCCCCAAGAAAATCCAGACATCTAGGGAATTTCATGTGTCATCTTTTTTTCCTTTTGTCACTAATGCAGTTTTGATAACCTTTTGGAATAGAAGTATAATAGATTAGTAAGCTTTGTACAGTGACATTTCTTATACTCTATTGTGGCCTTTTGGAAATAAGTCCCTTGTTAGGTAACATTTGAATTTTTCAAATCAATTAAATTTTGCTTAGAAAGTATTTTTTTTTTGGTACCGAGGATCAAACTCGGGTCCTTGTGCTTGCGCAGCAGGTGGCGAAACCACTTAGCTAAATCCCTAGCCCTTGCTTAGAAAGTTTTATAGTTCATCATCATAACTTCTATGCTGTAGCCAGAGGTAGAATTATTTGATTCAATTAAAATCTCTTTCTTTTGACTTATCTGAAAGTAATTTTTTTTCTAATTTTTTTTTGTACTGGGGATGGAGCTCAGGACCTTGTACTTGCAAGGCAGTTGCGGTGCCACTGAGCTAAATCCCTATCCCCCCCCCGCCCCCTTTCTTTTTTTTCCCTAATTTGATGGTGCTAGGTTTGGAGCCAGGACCTCCTCATACATGCTAGGCAAGCACTGTCACTGAGCTATATCCTGAGCCCAAAGTAACACTTTTTACAGGAAATGCAAAAAGTAATTAAATCTATAATTACTACCTTCCAAATCTGATTTGCTGCGTATTCCATTTTTTTTTTCTTTTTAACAAAAAGGGTTATATCCTTTCAGCCAGCTGTTTTTACTAAATACATTTAATAATATTTTCACATTATTGGGATGGTTTTGACAACATTTGAAATGGCTGCCAAACATTCCACAGTTTGTATGGTCACTGTTTAATGAATTCTCTATTTTGTATATTTAAGTTACCCGTTTTTCATTCTGTATAAATACAGATGTGCATTGCAGAATTGTATCTTTAGATTTCCTCAAGATAAATTCCTAAATTGCCTTTCAAAAGGTTGTGCTCCCATTCTAATTGAAAATACCCTTTATCACACATTCTTGATCACATTGTCTATTTATTGTTTGTTTTGGTGGGAGGGGCCGGTTCCAGGAATCAAACCCAGGGCCTTGCACATGTTAGATGAGCACACTTCTACTGAGCTGTATCCCCACCCCTCTATTTTTTTGAAAATTATTTTTGATAATTTTAAAGATAAGAAAATTTATATGAAGATACATTTTAAGTATACCTCATTTTAATAGGTTTTCTTTTTTTTTCTGAGAATATGGCCTCCTATTTCAAGCCAAAGGTTTGATTTGATATTTTATAATTTTAGGATAGTTATCACATTTCTGTTTCTATGAAGTATGGAGTGTTTTCTATTAAGTGGTGCAAAATGATGGTGATTATTACAACAAAGTCTTTTAAACTCATAGAGAAAGTTATTTTCCAACTTATTATTTCTCATGAAAGAGATTTTTCATGTTTGCCTTCAGTCATTTGTTACTACTTTAACCTGAAGCTTTAGTTCCTGATCATGTAATGTTTAAAAAGGCTGTAGATGTACTAGTGGGTAAAACTACTAAAATGTTAGGGCTACTGGTCGACTTTTAATAATTAAGTGATGAAAATTTCCTTTTCTACTCAAAGAAGCTTTAAGACTTAGTATGAAGGATCAGAATGACATCAGTTCTCATAACATCTGTATATATAGTGCAGATTTTTACTTTTCTACATGTTGAGATACATGATTTGACTTTATGATGTCAAATCTATGACATATGGAACTTTTATGGTCTTAAATGCTGATAAAACAAAAGGAAGATGAGAAAAATGGACTTGGGGTAAATTATAACATATAAGAGATAGAATTTCAATACATGAAGTTAGTGTGTATGTTCCTCAAAAAATAAATCATTCTGGCTGGGTATAGTAGCACACAACACTCTGGAGAATGAGGCAGGAGGATTACAAGTTCAAACCGAGCCTGGGCAGTTTAGCAATTTAGTCAGACCCTGTCTAAAAACAAAAATTTTTTGTAAAAAGCTGAGTATATAGCTCAGTATGAAGGCCTCGAGTTCAATCCCCAGTACCACCAAAAAAAGGTGAAACATACTGGTGTGGTGGTATACTTGTAATACAACCCACTCAGGCGATTATAGCAGTAGAATCACAAGTTCAAGGCTAGCTTGGGTTACATAGCAGTATCCTAGCTTAAAAGAAAAAGATAAACCTACAGTTTTGATTGGTTTATTTTGTGTACCACCTCATTACCGTCATGAGAACCACAACGTAAATTCAAAGATGGCCCTTCACTAAATTGAAAGATAGCCCTTCACATCTGTAAAGGGTAAAATATTTAAGATTCCATTAGTTATAAAACACTATTTTTTTGTCACTAAAGCTAAAAATGTTAGCTCCCACTTGATACTGATTGCAAAACACATTCTGATTTCAGAACATTAAGTGTTAAAATATATACTTTAGAAATTTATTAAATATAATATCAGGCCTCTATCTTATATAAGCCACCCAGTAAATGGCACTAAATATGTAGTCCTTTGTAATTATCAAACTAAAAAATATTTGGTTCAAAGGTCTATAAATGCAAGTTTCTAAATAATCTCTTAGATGTTCTTCAGGAATATATCGTGTTTCCTTCCTTTGTTTAATTCTGGTATTATGTTAGAAGAGGGTTTTTTTTTTTTTGGCAGTACTGATTGAACCCAGGGCCTTCATACTGAGCTACACTTCCAGCTCCTTTTTTATTTTTTATGTGGAGACAGGGTCTCGCAGTCATTTTGTTGTATTGGTTGGTTCAAACTTTAGATCTTCTTGGCTTAGCATCCTAAAGTGCCTGCACTACAGATGTGTGCTGCTATGCCTGGCTTTGTTAGCAGGTTTTTTTCCCCTTCCAAGTCCAGTTTTAATCTCATTAGTCCTTTTTTTAATTCATTTCTATGAAGAACAGCTTGTCAACCAGATCTAAGCCCAGGTTTCACTGGATTAACTTAAATTCTGTTTTCCTTTATAAGCTCTTTCATAGCTTATACATACATACTGGTTTGTTTATTTGTTAGATACTACTGTCCCCTGTAGGCTACATAGAGACTTAGACCATATCTATTCTGTTTACAACTATATGTATCAGGTGCCTGACACAGTTCTTGGCACACAGTGTGTGCTCAGTATATATCTGTGGGTAGAATGAGTGAGTCCAAAGTATTTTCTTTGAGCTTCCTGATACTTAGAGAATAGCAATAGCGTTTTGGGAGTGTTTTTCTGTTGTTGTTGTTGTTGTGTGTCTTAACCCACGTAGTTGACCCTTTATGTTATACTTTTGTAGGTTCAAATATAGTTTATGGTCATCTGTTATCCTGGGTTGTTTTTTGCCATACTTACAACTTACTGTCCATGGTTAACTTATTCTGTATGTGTGGTAATAGACCATGGGTGGCATCATTAAGTGTGGTCTTTATACTTAAATCTTTTGAATTTTACCTTTGTTTTGTGTAGCCCAGAATGCAAATTTATCTTGCTATCCTTTGTCAGTCATGTTGATAATAAGGTTGTTGGTTTTATTTTCTAGATTTTCTTGATAGCTGTCGTGCCAGTACTCTGTTAGCTGAGCTAGATGATGATGAAGATTTGCCTGAGCCTGATGAGGAAGATGATGAGAATGAAGATGACAATCAGGAGGACCAAGAATACGAGGAGGTTATGGTAGAGATAGTCTCCTATTTTCTTCCCTCAGATAGGGTATTAATAATTGAAGGGAGCAAAAGCTAAGTCATAATTAAACTTTGAAGGAAGGATATATGGCACCAGTACCAAAAATGTGCTTAATGAAGAAAAGCACTCTTATGCTTAGCATTTATGAGACTCTTTGTATTTGAAAAACACTACAGTTTACATGTTGATATTTTAAGGCTTAGAGGTGTGTGAAATTAGAGAAAACTACAGTAATCTTACAGAATATACTTTTTTGTAGTTCTTAGGCATGGTGATGCATGCCTGTAATCCCAGTGCTCAGCAGTCTGTCAAGGAGGATCGCTGTGAGTTTGAGACCAGCCTGAGCTACACAGTAAGACCTTGTCTCAAAAAACAAAAACAAAAAGCAACAACAAAAAATTTTATATTTCAGTAACAATTTTAGAAAGGATATTTTAGGGCTGGGGATTTAGCTCAGTGGTTCCAGCACCTGCCTCGCAAGTGCAAGGTCCCGAGTTTGATCCCTGGTACCAAAAAATAAATAAATAAATAAAAAGGATATTTTAGTACTTATTTTACAAGCTGTATTCGTATATATTCTCATTAATCCTAACACAGATGAATGGGGTAGAGGCATAAAAAAATTAAAATTGCCCATATTATCAGAGTTAAGTAGAAAAGTGGGGACCCAAGGCTAGGCACTGTGATTTAGAACTCTCCGTGTTTAATCACTATGATTATCTTCTAATTGACAGGTGTGCCTTAAATACCCTTTATTGTAACTTCTGTATATTTTAAGTTTCTCTGTATAACCAGGCTTGGTGGTGCTTGCTCATAATCCCAGAACTAGAGTCTGAGGCAAAAGATCCTAACTTCTCGGTCACTCTTAGACCCTGTCTCAAAATGTAAAAAGGAGTCTGGGTGTGTAGCTCAGTGCTGCCTGGGTTGAATCCCCAGTACTGCCAAAAGAACAAAACAAAAAACCTGTTTAATATTTTTAAAATTGAAATGCTAAGTTTAATGAGGTAAAAAAATTTTAAATGCTTTGAATATATGTTGCTTACAAACCACATTATTATTTCTTACAAACAGATTAGTATAAAATGTATGATGCATTAAACCATTCAATCTATGACTTCTCTGAAGATGGTAATGAAGAAAAGATTTTTCAGTGACACTTGTAGATACAGATTGATAGTTTCAGAGCAAGGCAGAATGTTGGCGATAAACATGATTAAAGTAATTAGACATATATCTCTCGACATTTTTTTTTTTACTTCAGATTCTGAGACGTCCATCCCTGCAACGTCGAGCTGGCTCCCGCTCTGATGTAACACACCATGCTGTCACCTCACAGCTACCACAGGTCCCTGCTGGAGCAGGGAGCCGACCTATTGGAGAGCAGGTGATACTGTTGTGTTTGTTGTCCCTACTGCATACTTTTACTTTCACAGGAAAATACCAAACAAAATGGCTAAATACCTATAATCGTGTAGGTAGTGTGGGGAAGAGGAAAAGGGAAGGGAGCGACTAGTGTTACAAAAATAAACTTCCCCTATTGCATAGGTTCCATATTCCAGCTAGAATCCTTGATTGCTCTGGCATAATGCAAGTGCCAGTTACTTACTTGAAACCCCTTCATTTTGGCCTTTAGGTAATAGTAAGCACATAATAACAGGTATTTGTTGTTGTAGTAGTGGTGCTGGTGGTGATAGAATATGTAGCAATAGTCTTACAAACATTGGTAACTAATAAATGATAGGCATAGTTCTCAACACTTTGTATGTATTGGCTTATTTAATTTATTCAAGAACTCTTTGAATGTTTATTATTAGCTCCAATTTTCAGATGAAATGATTGCTAAAAAGCACAGATTTGGTGGCTCCTAGATGCAAACCCGGATGTTCTGATTGCAGAGCTGTCAAATGGTGGTTTAATCTGTTGTAAAAGTTAATTTCAATTAAGTATGCAAACTATGAGGATGTGTGTATCTATCATCTGACTGACAATTATCAATACTTTGTCTATCATATCATAACTTAATGCAACTCTGAGGGATTCTTTTTTTGGTTTTTTGAGGCAGGGTTTCCCTTTGTAATTCAGGCTAGCCCTGAACTTACTATGTAGCCCAGGCTGGCCTCAAACTCAGTCTCCCAAGTGCCTGCTGGGATTATAGGCATGTGCCACCATGTCTGGCTGAGGCATTCTATTTTGTATGCAAATAATTCAGTATGAAATGAACTTTATAATTTAAAAAAACTTACTTTGAAATAATAAGCTCATAGGAAGTTGTAAAAATAGCACAAAAAGGTCTTATGTGTCTTTTATCCAGTTTTTCCAAATGGTTAGTTTCATGTTTCACTATAATATCAAAGCTATGAAATTGATGTTGGTACAGTACATGTGTATGGTTTTTTGTTGTATTACCACATTTGTAGATTTGTATAGCTGTCACTGAATGCCATTTACTTTTGATAAACTGAAACCATTAAGCAAAATATATACCTATAAATGTTTATGTTAGCTTATTCTGTACTTACATAATATGGCAAAATAAGGAAGTATAGAGAATATAAAGAACTTTACACATCACTTTTGGAATAATAGTTTTCATCTTGTAATGTTTAATTATATATGGAATTTTAATAGGAAGAAGAAGAGTATGAAACTAAAGGAGGACGCCGGAGAACATGGGATGATGATTATGTGCTAAAGCGGCAATTTTCTGCTTTGGTTCCTGCTTTTGATCCTAGACCTGGTCGTACTAACGTGCAACAGACAACTGACCTAGAAATTCCACCCCCAGGTACAGTATATTTGAGTTAGATGATTTAATTTTAAAAGATACCTACTAAGATTTATATAGTTTGAAAAGTAAGGTGCTCCTTATGCATGCAAGTTATAAGTAAAAATTTCCTGAAAAGCCCTCTTACTAGTTCTCCAAAATATATATATTTTAGGAGGATCACCTTAGTTTGAGGCTCGCCTGGGCTACATAGTGAGTTCAAGGCCAGCCTGAACTACAAAGGGAGACCCTGCCTCAAAAAGAAATGGGCCAGGGATTTAGCTCAGTGGTTCTGCTGCCTGCCTCACAACCATAAGGTTGTGTCCCAAGTTAGTAAGGTCCCTGGTACCAAAAAAAAAAAAATTACAAATTTTTTATTTCATTTTATTTTTGTGTTCCTGGAGATTAAACCCAGGGCCTAGTGCATGCTAACCCTGCATTCAATCATAGTCTACATTGATAACTCACAAATCATTTTAAACTAGGCCTGGTGGCTCATACCTATAATCCCAGCACTCTGGGAGTATGAGGCAGGACGACTGTAAATTTTGAGTCACCCTTAGTGAGACCCTGGGTCAAAATGTAAAAAGTGGGGATTGGGGTTATAGCTCAGTACAAAGGCATTCAGTCTCGAGTACACAAACACATGTATGTGTACAAAAAAAAAAAAAAAGCACCGTGTGTTTTGTATTTTCACTATCTTTAATGCATCGTGTCCAAATGGGAAATTTTTTCTTCTGTTTTCTCCTGGATAAAAACTGTTAAGAATTTATTCCTATCAACTTTGAGTAGTGCTCCATTGATTTTAGGAGTCAGTTGGCCTGGGTGACACCTTGATCACTTAAAACTTTTATAAGGTATGATAGGCACCTTAATGGCCTCCCTAAAGTTATCCAGGTCTTGCCAGGCACAGTGGCTCATGCTTGTAATCTCAGCAGTTTGGGAGATGGATGCAGGAGAATTGCAAGTTTGAAACTACCTCGAGCAATTTAGTGAAACCCTATCAAAATTTAAAATGTAACAAAAAGGGCTGGGGATGTAGCTAATTGCTTCCTGGGTTCAATCTCTAGTACTATAAAAAATTTGAAAAAGGGTGGGGTAGATTTCCAGGTCCTAACCTCTGGAACCTATAAATATGTGAAGGTTTTCTCAGTATGACAAAGAGACTTTGCAAATATAATGAAGTTAAAACTTCTACACATGGGGAGATTATCGTGGATTATCAACTGGCCCCAGTATAATATAAAGAGTCCTTATAATTAGAGGGCAGAGGGATGTGACAAAAGATCATTGAGGGGCCAGGAGCTAAGAAATGTGGATAGTATTCAGAAGTGAGAAAAGGCAAGGAAAGAGATTTCCCCAGAGCTTGCAGAAAGAATGAGCCATGCAAGTCCATTTTAGACTTTTGATCTCTAGAACTGTGAGATAATCCCAGTAAACTTGTGTTTTTTAAACAACCCAATTGATAGTAATATTTTACTATCAATAGGAAACTAATGTAGTTTAGGTACATCCCCTAAACTGTCTAATCCTTAATTTTCATATCTCTTACATAGAGGGAATGATAGTCTGTTTGGCAAGGGATAGTCTGATTATACAAGGTAAAATATTTAAAGGGGTTAGCATGGTGCTTGATGTGTGCCTCAGTAGGTATTAGATACTGTTAACTAGGTCATAATCCTTACAAAAGAAGACTTAAATTATTAAGTCTGGAGTGTGCTTTTTAGTTAGTAGATACTGTTTTAAATATGAATGTAGGTACACTTTATAGTGTACTATTCCATGGATGAAGGTGAATTTAGGTTGAATTAAGATACTTAAGGGTCTCTTCAAAAAAAAAAACCTAGCTGAGCATGGAGGTGTATGCTTATAATCTCAGCACTTGGAGCCGTGCCTGGTGGTGGATGCCTGTAATTTTAGCATGGGAGGCTGAGGCAGGAGGATTGCTATGAGTTCAAGGCCACTCTGGGCTACATAATGAGTTCAGAGGCCATGTTGAACTACATAGGGGGACCTTTTCTCAAAAACAGAAATATAGTCTCAGCACTTAGGAGACTGAGGTAAGATTTCCACAAGATCAAGGCCAGCCTGAACTACATAATGAAACCCTGTCTCAAAATAAAAAGCCGGTGCAGTGACACATGCCTGTAATCTCAGCAGGTGCTGTGTCAC